CTATCAATCTATCTATCTATCTATCTATGTGCGTGCTCGTCTGTCTGCGTATCTATCTATCTATCTATCTATCTATCTATCTATCTGAGTCTATTGACATCTACCTATCTCAGTCTGCATCTATCTATCTATCTATCTATCTATCTATCTATCTATCTATCTATCTATCTATCTATGTGCGTGTTCGTCTGTCTGCGTATCTATCTATCTATCTATCTATCTATCTATCTATCTATGTGTGTGCATGTGTGTTTCTGTATTCGAGGTTGCGGGATGTATAATAGTGTATGTGCGCGTTTTTACACATGTGTGTATATGTGTGTGTCAGAGGAAGCGTAAGTTCCTTTGACGGGGCATGCGGTAGATCTGAAAAGCGTCAAGAAAACCTCTACCCACTCTTGGTTGAACCGAACATCGCTACGCGTAAAAAGCTAAGGTCCCGACACCGAAATAGAATTATAGTTGAGTATGTATGTATGTATGTATGCCCGAAGATGAGAATTTCAATAAATCAAACAACATACGGACGAAACAACAATGATAGCTACCCCATGCTGCCAATAGCTTCACATACTTAATACTTCTTGTTTTTACTCTTGTGTGGTCATATGTGACGTCACGAACTGCGACGCGATTTTCGCCTCCGCGTCTCGTATACACGGGTTTGTCGTAGATTCGAAACTTTTTCATGCAGCAAGGGCGGACTATCATTCTTGTTTCGTCCGTGTATTGTTTGATATATTGAAATTGTCACCTTTGATAATGGCTTATGTAAGCCGAAAGCTTAGATTGGATTTAAACTTGTTACAATATGATGTTTTCCTTTCGTCCTTCAATGATAATGTCATTAAACTTATCAGACAATATGAAAGGAACTTACTTAAAACAAATACACAAAACTTGTCTATATTATTTAATGAAACATGCATTAATATATATATATATATATATATATATATATATATATATATATTAAAGAAATAAACAGACCAGTTTAAGGCTTGATTAGTAATAATTTATTTCACCAGAGAATTTTATTTTTCTCTGGATCTTCAAACTTCACTTTCAAAGGTGAAAAAATGAATTGAAAATTTCCACTTTTGAAGGGCAGTATTAAGCTGATATAAGTTGACATAAAAGGTGGTGAGGAATAGTGTGAGACACATGGTCGAGTTTAGAGAGGGAAGGGTGAGTTTTAAAATGTATTTATATTTTTATTTAATATTGAGGTGGAGGGGGTAAGGATCAGACATTGACCTATTTAATCGATCAACTCACCGGAAATGATATGGGGAAAAAGGAAAAAAAAATAGAAAAAAAAAAGAAAAAAAGACACCCACACACACACACACACACATACACACACACATACACACACACACACACACACACATATATATATATATATAATCTTGTCTTAATAGTAAGTTTGATCTGTTCGATAAGATCAGATTGGCAGCCGAACTAAAAATTGACATACATCTGTTGTTAACTAGGGCAACGAATGGCTTGTTAATTTTAACGCCTCCAAAACGAAACTATTAATCGCCTGAGAGAACCCTTTCCGCCTTTCATCAACATGACTGATGCTAAACCCCCAGGAGAGCGACTCGTTGCGCCTTCTCGGGCTAGCATTCTCGACTAGCATGAAATAGAAAGATTACATTTAATCAATTGCTAGATATGCTGCTAGGAAAGACTGTTCACAGTTTTTTCTCAGCAGAATCTATCGTACATATTAATAAGTCTACCATTCGTCCTTGCTTTGAATGTTGCTGCCACATATGGTCTGGTGCTCCTGCCATATATCTAGTGATTCTTGCTAAAATCTGCAGTGTTATTGATCCTGAGCTGGCAGTGAACTTCATTCACTTTTCCACCGCGGTAATGTAACTTACCTTTTCTTTAAACACTATAATGGAAATTGTTCTGATGAGCTTTCCTCCATCGTACCTGGACTTTATGAATTTAAGCGCACTACTAGATTGGCAACAATGTCGAATCATTTTAGAGTTGAAAAATATGACAGATACGTATAGAAGAATTATCAGATGAATTAATTTATTTCTTGTTTTGTCTTTGCTCACTTGCAAGTACAGCGCATATAACTGAAAATACTGTAATTACTTTACGAAGAGGTTTGCATTATTGACTGGTCACTCAGTCATTAAATTTCAAATAATACGTAAAAGAGTGTTATCCATTTTTGTATTGCTTTCTATAATTGAATAGCATATTTCACCATATTTGTTCTTAATTTTCTTACATTGACACAGACGTAGCCTAAAATACAATTACGAACACAAACTACTGAAACATTTCTGCAATCGCAAAAAATCTGCAAACAAACGTCTAATTTTTTTATGTCTTTCAATATAGAATAGGTTTATTTATTTATTTTTTTACTTGTTATCTTTATAAGCAAACACGAAGAAGTTGCTAGAACCAACTTCCAACATTGTTATGTCCGACTTCCGGCTCTGCTTTCAAACAGGAAATTTTTAACAGTATTTATAGGAAGCTCTTGAAACCGACTGCTTCCGTTCAGGATCTGTTTTTCTCTTCAGCTATCTTTAATGTCTGCTCCCTTTACTTTTACAGTCTTTCGACCAGCAAATAACTGATGGCGACACTAAACTCCTCTAAAATCCTTGCCTATGATATAATTCCTTTTTTATGGTCGTCTGGCACATCGTTCACAGGCGAAACTTATGATAACCATTAAATATATGTTTTATTTGTATCGTTTGGTTGGTGAGTGGCGTCGCAAAGGAAATCTGGTTGGTACTGTTTACCAACATTTATACCGAGTGGTTATTTTATGGCATTCTTTTACCGTTCAAATTAGGGAGCAGGTATTCATTTGCAAGTATGATGCCAGTGCTTACTTTTTCATTGATTTCTGTCGACCTTTATAACAGGCTTATGTCAAACCTTGCGGACCATGACTGGCAATGGGCTGGGAAAACAAAAGCGATTTGTGATGTTAAGTTGGGTGCGGTTCTAGAATAAAATATCTTTTTCATTCATATTCTTTTTCACAAGTATCATCATTTCTGAGAGAAAATAAAAATTAGAACTACCAGGAACTTGCTCGGGATGTGAGTAAGATATACACCATGAAAGTAAAATCCGTGACCGTAATAGTGGGTGCATTAGGAACAGGTTAGAAAACACTAAAATTAAGATGGGATGAATTGGTAATCCAAGACAGAGTTGAGGCTATTAATACCACGGCGCTTTGGGGATTTCTGAGGTATCAGTTAAAAAGTCAAGCTGTCACCCAGTCTTCAGGAATAACCAGCAGACATCATCAAATACAAGGAAACAATAATAGGAAGAACACACAAAAAGACGCGAAGAATTAAAAATCGAGTAAAAATTATAACTATTTAGCTGGAAAACAGCAAGAACAGTGAATAAAGTTCCAGTGTATTTTGGAGACGTCATGTCATTTGGAGCATTGTGGGAACTAGTTGTCACCATTTTTGAACAAAGTCAAAGACATCAAGCTACAACAAAAACAACAATATAATAATCACAAGATACATTGAATATCTCGTTTGATACCACAGATTTGATAATGAGTTGCCTGTTGAACCTGTCCTCTAAAGGCGAAACATATTGTGCACATCTGTTCATGAGCGGGAGTAGTGGACGATTATAATGAATGGGTGTCGAAAGATTTTTTTTTTAACTTTGAAGGATGAGTTGGTAAAGACGACACAACGACCTTCTGAGCAGACTGGTTTACTTGATCTGATTTCTAATTGGGCTCCACCTGTAAGGTTATGTTCCTCTTTTATGAACCCCTGTCACGATATCGCGCCTATTTGGCTTCAGTGCATGTAGCCTTATTAGACTGGATATCATAATCACTTCGCATGTTTGTACGTCGGCGTCACATTGTTAGTGTGTAGGTCTCTCAGTCAAAAATGATAACAGTATCACTAACAGCAATAGCTACAACAATAGAAAAAATGTGGCGCTTAAAAACTGAAACTATTTTAGTTGTGGTTTGAGCTTTGGGTATGTTTAAGAAAGAAACACAGCAACAAATCAGTAAAATCCCTTGTGCACCATTTCTGCAGGAAATTCAAAAATATAAATGCATATATATATATATATATATATATATATATATATATATATATATATATATATATATGCGTAGTTATAACCCCAGTGATGCGAAAACTAAATACGCACACACATACACACACACACACACACACACACATATATATATATATATATAGATATAGAGAGAGAGAGAGACAGAATGCATATACATATTTTTACATGCAGACAAATAAATATATAGGTCTGTATAAATATTTATTCTTCAAATCATATCAGGTCATCCCATAAGTTCTGTCCGAATTTTAACTTTTTTAAAAGAATGAACGAAATTTAAAGAGTATTTTTAATGTCTAATGGAGCTGAACATTATTTTTATGTTTAGATGCATTTAAACTGATCAAATTTTATTTCAGAGAACAATAAAATTAAATTTTGTTTAATTAAAACCCTGCTAACATGGTAGTACCTAAGAAGCATTTGAGGCACATAATGCTTTATGAGTTCAAGAAAGGAAACTCAGCAGCCGAAGCGGCTAGAAACATTCACTCAGTTTATGGAGAGGAATGTGTGAATGAAAGAACTTGCAGAAGATGGTTTGCAAAATTCACAGGTGGAGATTTCACCCTTGAAGAAAATCCTGCTTTATCAGTTGAGGAATTGGCAGTGGTTCTCAGTTCAAACCATATAACTGTTCATCGTCATCTTCAACAACTTGGAAACGTTCCTAAACTTGGAAAATGGGTGCCGTATGAATTGTCTGAAAACAACCTCAAATCCCGAGTTGACATCTGCTCTTCTCTCCATTCTCGCCAACTTGTTTCACCTTTTTTGGATAGACTTGTGACTGGTGACGAAAAATGGATCTTTATCGAAATGTTAAGCGTCGTAGACAGTGGCTTAGTAAAGGGAAGGACCCCAGCCACAGCTGAGAAGGAACTTCATAGGCAAAAGGTTCTTTTTTTCAATCTGGTGGGATCGCCAAGGAATAATCTACTTTTGAATTCTTACCACCTAATGCAACAATTAATGCTCACAAATATACTGTCAGCAATTAGAGCCTTTGAACCATGATTTGAGGAAAAAAAGACCTGCTCTAGTGAATCGAAAAGAGGTGATGTTTCATCAGGACAATGCGCGACCCCACACAGCAAGAATCACGTCACAAAAGATCGAAGAACTTGGTTGGGAGAAAATTCCTCTTCCACCTTATTCTCCCGATCTTGCTCCTTCAGACTACCATTTGTTTCGTAGCTTACAGAATCATTTGGCAGAAACAGATTTTGTAATACAGTAAGATGTTAAAACTGACATTTGTGAGTTCTTCGAATCAAAGCCAAAAGAATTTTACAGTAATGGAATTAGTAAGCTTGTTAATAGATGAAAGGAAGTCATAGATAATCAGGGAAAATACATTGTTGATTGAATCTGTAATTAAATGTAACATTTGGTCACTTGTTTTCTTTATTCAAAATTCGGACAGAACTTATGGGATGACCTGATATATCCTATAATATGTATCTTCCTGTCTGTCTCTCTGTCTAAACCGACATCTATCTATCTATCTATCTATCTATCTATCTATCTATCTATCTATCTATCTATCTATCTCTGTGTACATATATATATATATATATATATATATATATATATATATATATATATGGTGACAAGTAGTTTCCACAATGCTCCAAATGACATGACGTCTCCAAAATACACTGGAACTTTATTCACTGTTCTTGCTGTTTTCCAGCTAAATAGTTATAATTTTTACTCGATTTTTAATTCTTCGCGTTTTTTTGTGTGTTCTTCCTATTATTGTTTCCTTGTATTTGATGATGTCTGCTGGTTATTCCTGAAGACTGGGTGACAGCTTGACTTTTCAACTGGTACCTCATAAATCCCCAAAGCGCCGTGGTATTAATAGCCTCAACTCTGTCTTGGATTACCAATTCATCCCATCTTAATTTTAGTGTTTTCTAACCTGTTCCTAATGCACCCACTATTACGGTCACGGATTTTACTTTCATGGTGTATATCTTACTCACATCCCGAGCAAGTTCCTGGTAGTTCTATTTTTTTATTTTCTCTCAGAAATGATGATACTTGTGAAAAGAATATGAATGAAAAAGATATTTTATTCTAGAACCGCACCCAACTTAACATCACAAATCGCTTTTGTTTTCCCAGCCCATTGCCAGTCATGGTCCGCAAGGTTTGACATAAGCCTGTTATAAAGGTCGACAGAAATCAATGAAAAAGTAAGCACTGGCATCATACTTGCAAATGAATACCTGCTCCCTAATTTGAACGGTAAAAGAATGCCATAAAATAACCACTCGGTATAAATGTTGGTAAACAGTACCAACCAGATTTCCTTTGCGACGCTGCTCACCAACCAAACGATTTTTTATTTAACGTCTTCTTAATTCTTGTTCTTTTATCATTCTCTTACCTTATTATCACTTTTATTTCTCGCATTCTCTAACATTCGTAAACCTCTCCCGCCTTAGTTGGTTTATTGCCTTGGTTGGAGTGAAATGATTTAAAAAGAATAAAAGCTGATATCATCAGAACACTAATTATTGGTCCTGACCTGGCATCTCGGCTTAAGTCACTTTCCCACCGCCACAACGCAGTTTCCCTGCGTCTTCTCTTGAAAGGATTTCATGGTAATTATCCTGATGAGCTTTCCTCATTGGTACATCAGTTTAAGCTCAGTACTAGATTGGCGGTGAGGTCTCATCGATTTACAGTTAAAATAGCAACATGTAACCGTAAGTTCTTTGATAACAGTTTCTACTATCACACTTTTCCCTTACAGAACTCTCACCCAGTCTCTTGCTTTTTAGTCAACTTTGATCGTCAAAATTTAAATACAATATAAATCATTATCTTTTCAGTACTTTTATTGTTCTTTTTCTTTAATTATGTTTTTCATTTTCAGTTATTCTTTCACACACAGTAGCTCCTTCTATCTTAGCGGCTCTATTGTCTTGTTTATGGGGAAATGATAAAAAAATACACGCACAAAATACTAAAGAAGAGAAAAATCAAATTTATCAGAATACTGGCTTGAAAATAAATCTAATTTTTATTCGTCAGTCACTATAAATAGAAAACTGGTCACACTAGTACTTAAATGCGGCGATACAAAAATGTCTGAATTGTTTTGCGTTCTATTTCAAAATTGTAAAAACACCAGGAAATTTGGATGCATCTTAATAGTGAGAAATAACACATGCACACAATTATAATTGAATAAACACACCCCTTGACATAATCTTTCATACATTGACACACGCCTCTAACCCTACACATTCATAATTTTGTCTCTAAGTGCTTGACTCAGTAGAGTTGTATCCCTTGTTTAACTCTCCTCGGTCGGGAGATTTATGTGGGACTAAATGTATTTTAACGATAATTTTCACCAATTTTACGGCTTCACACTTCTTGAATCCATCAATATGACGAATTTGAGCGAGAGATTAAGATGCAGTATCTATTCGCAACCTGTACGGAATAATGATATTTAATATGCCAGCTGCAGTCGAATAATCACTGATAAAAAATAAAATATAAAAAAAGTATAAATAACAGAAATATATAAAAAAAATTTACAAAAAACAAACAAAATATTCATGAATTAATTTAGAGAACAATGTTAAAATATGGCCGCGCGTCTAAGCCCGGCTTGCACTGTAATTACTGTCCGGAATGGGCCCACGAAAGACATTAATTACATTGGCAAGATAATGCATGCTGGGAAGGCGCGATAAAGTGAAGTTGAGATAGAGTGAAAAGGATGGGGGTGGCACGAAGAGAAAAAGGAAAAGAATGAGAGAGATGATTAGAGAGAAAGAGAGAGAAAGAAAAGATAGACAGAAAGAAAGGAAAGATAGACAGAAAGAAAGAAAGAAAGAAAGAAAGAAAGAAAGAAAGAAAGAAAGAAAGAAGAGAGAACTGATTCAAGAGAAAGGGGAAGAGAGAGAATAGATAGATAGATAGATAGATAGATAGATAGATAGATAGATAGATAGATAGATAGATAGATTGAATGAGGAAGAGAAAGGTGGTAAGAGAAAAAGAGAAGGAGAAAGAAGAGGTATATGGATAGAAAGAAAGAAACGAGAGAGAGGTGGTTAAAGAGAAAGGGGAAATGCAGAAGAGATGGATAGATAGATAGTGAAAGAGAATGAGGAATAGAAACGTGGTTAGAGGGAAGGAGAAAGAAATAGAAGATATAGATAGAAATAAAGAAAAGAGAAAGATAGTTAAAAAGAAAGGGGAAAAACAGAATAGATAGATAGATAGATAGATAGATAGATAGATAGATAGTGGGAGAGAATAAGTAAGCAAGTGGTAGTTAGAGAGAAATAGAAAGAGACAGAAGAGATTGATAGTAATGAAGGAAACAGAGAATGAGAGAGAGGTACTTAGAGAGAAAGGGGAAAACGCAGAATAGATGGATAGATAGTGAGAGAGAATAAGGAGGAGAGACGTGGTTATAGAGAGAAAGAGACAGATGAGATAGAAATAGAGAGAGCGAGAGAGAGAGAGAGGTGGTTAAAGAGAAAAGGGAAGAGTCAGAAAAGATAGATAGATAGATAGATAGATAGATAGATAGATAGATAGATAGATAGATAGATAGTGGAAGAAATGATAATAGTGATGATAGTGGATAAATGGTGTCTATTAAGAGTAAGAAATAGAGATGAAACGAGAAGAGCGAAAAACAGAGTGAAAGAGGAGGAGGAGTAGGTGGATGAAGAAAAAAGAAAGAGATAGCAATAAGAAAGGACAAATTAGAGAGGGATAGTGAGACGAAGAAGATTTAATGTAAAGGAAGAGGGAGTAAAAGAGAGAATTAAAAAATCACGGATATCTATGATAAAAGAGAAGGGCCATGAGTGATAGATAAGGTAAGGAAGAAGAAAAAAAGGAAGAAAAAAAGCAAGAAAGAAAAAGACAAACAAGGAAGAGAAAGAAATAGCAAATGCAGAGAGAGTGAGTGAGGGAGAGAGAGAAATAAATGTAGAATGTGAAGAAATGAGAATTAAGGAGAAAAAGAAAGAAAAAAACTACAAGAAAGAAAAGAAAAAACAGTGAAAAAGAGAGAGAAAATAAAGAAAGAGAAAGAAAATGTGTGAGTGAGTCAAAGAGAAAATAGAATGAGATAGAGAGGAAAAAAGAAATAGACAGAGAAGCGAAAAGGAAGACAGAGAAAAAGAAAGAAAGGAGATAGAAAGTGAATGAAAATAGAAGAGAAAGAAAAAGAAAGAAAAGAGAGAGTGAGAGAGAAAGTGAAAGAAAAGAGAAGCGAAAGAAAAAGAAAGAAAGGGGGAAGAATGTGAAAGAAAGAGGAAGCTAGAAAAAGAAGAGAGAGAGAGAGAGGGTGGGGAGAGAAGAAATTAAGAGATAATGAACGATAAAGAAAAATGAAGGCAGAGAGAAAGAGAGAGAGGGAGGGAGGGGGCAATGAAAAAAAGAACGGGTGAGAAAAGAGAAAGAGGTGAAGTAAAAGAGCATGGGAAAGAAAGATAAGATAGAGAAGGAAAATACAGAAGAGAGAGAGAAAGAGAAAGAAAATAACGAGGGGAGGGAAATGGGAACATAGAGTTTGAGGAAGAGAGAGTAAGAGAAATAGAAAAGAAAAGAAATAGTGAGAGGTAGAGAAAGAAAAAGGGAGAGAGAGAGAAAGAGAGAGAGAGAGAGAGAGAGAAAGAAAGAGAGAAAGAAAGAGAGAGAATCAGAATAGAAGAAAAAGAAACCAGACGAATGAAATCAAAGAAGAGAAAGAAAAAGAAAAGAGATAAACAAAGAGAAAAGAGTACGAGAATGGAAAAGAAAGAAAAAGAAAAGAAAGAGAACGGAAGAGAAAAAAGAAAGATAGAGAAATAAATGAAGAGAAAAGACGAGAGAGGGAGAGAGAGAGAGAGAGAGAGAAGACATAAGAGAGAGAGAAAGAGAAAGTGAGAGAGAAAGATTGATTAAATTAATGGTGCGACAAATGAGCGTCTCTACGTGATGCATTGTTCTGCAATCTGGATTTGGAAATCAGTACTGATGAGTGTCATACTCTCACAATGAGTGACCCATATTCGTGGCCTTGTGCCCAAACTAAGATGAGCGTAGTAAGTAAGAAGAGTGAAACAAAACAGGGAAAGTTCAGAATCTGGTCACGTAGAAAAGGAAGATGATGGAGATATTAAAGAGAAAGAAAAGAGAGAGAGAGAGAGAGAGAGAGAGAGAGAGAGAGGGAAATGAGAGGCAAAGAGCGAGAGTGAAAGCGTGATAAGGCACCAACAAAAAACGGAGAGAGTGTAATGAGAGGAAAGAGAAAGAAAAAATAATTGATTCTTGAAGAAATAACAAGAAAAGTGTTCAGCAAAAGACGAGAAAGAAAGAAAGAAAGAAAGAAAAAAAGAAAGAAAGAAAGAAAGAAGCGTTTGAAGACAATAAAGACAGAATTTGTCGGGAAAGAAAGAAAAAAGAGAGTAAGAAAGAAAGTAAAAAGGTTTGGAAAAATGAAGAGAAAACTTGTCTGGAAAAGAAAAAAAGCAAGCAAAGAAAGAAAGAAAGAAAGAAAGAAAGAAAGAAAGAAAGAATGGGTTTGAACAAAAGAAAACAAAACCTTGTCTATAAATAAATAAATAAAAAAAAAGTAAGTAAGCAAGAAGGGTTTAGAAAAAGGAAGACGGAGCTTGTCTGAAAAGTAAAAAAAAAAAAAAGAAAGGGTTTGGGCAAAAGAAAGATAAACCTTGTATAGAAAGAAAGAAAGAAAGAAAGAAAGAAAAACAAAAGAAAGAAAGAAATAAGGAAGTAAGGGTCTGGACAAAAGAAAGGTAAAAATTGTATGGAAAGAAAGAAAGAAAGAAAGAAAGAAAGAAAGAAAGAAAGAAAGAAAGGGTTTGACAAAAGGAATGTAATCCTTGCATGGAAAGAAAGAAAGAAAGAAAGAAAGAAAGAAAGGGTTTGGATAAAAGAAAGGTAATCCTTGTATGGAAAGAAAGAAAGGCCGTGGAGAGACATAAAAATAACAATGCAACAGTGAAAGAATAAAAGAGAAATATTTGCTTTGATTTATAAAATAAAATAGAAGGGAAGAAAAACAGTTTGGAAGTTGAGAAATAGAACGCTGAGTGATCGAGAGGGGATAGAGAAATAGACAACTTTCTGTGTGTGTGAGAGAGAGGGGGGGAGAGAGGAGAGGGAGGGAGGGGGAGAGAGAGAGAGAGAGAGAGGGGGGGAGAGAGAGAGAGGAGAGAGAAATAAACAACTTTCTGTGTGTGTGTGAGAGAGGGGGGGAGAGGGAGATGGGGGGAGGAGAGAGGGGATAGAGAAATAAACAACTTTCTGTGTGTGAGAGAGAGAGAGGGGGGGGGGGAGAGGGAGAGGGGGGGAGGGGAGAGAGGTTGAGAGGGGGGGAGGAGAGAGAGGGAGAGAAAAGTTGTGAGAAAAAAATAAATTACATTAATTAAGGGAGAAACGGAAAGGAAAAGACGTTCCTAGTCAACAGACTTGGAGATCTACACCGAGGCAGGCTGTCATAAAGAAAATTTAAGCATAAACCAGGTTATCTCGATATAAAACTTGAGGGTTTTTTTTTTGTCATCGTATTCCCCCCACCCACCTTCATCTCACAGCAGGAAGAACAACTAACTAAGATTAAGACATCATCATCAACAAATAAAATGTATTATCAAAAATGAAGGCAAACCAAAAGCGAGCAAGAAAGAAAATTGACAACATACAAGGAAACAATGCACGTTTGCTCTGGAAACCATACAATTAAAGACAAAACAGTAATAAAGAAAAAAAATTATAATAAAATTCTTCAAATTGAAAGCGTAAAAAGGAATAAAAAGTAGTAATTAAATTCAAATATAAAAATATGTGAACAAACATGGCAGTAGGCATGCGCGTGGTGATCTGGTCAAAATTCAGTCCTTGTGTAGCGATACAGGCATGACTTTTCCAGTTCGAAGGTCTGTGGGATGGTAGATGGAGGCTGTATGCTGTCCATACAAGATGCGTCTCACGTTTCTGTCGTACCGACAATATTTGGGTCCAGCTTGGTTGCAAAAGCTGTCGGAATTTTGTCAGTGCTAACAGACAATCGCCTTCAGAGCTCTACTCCGGATTTTCTGCCTGGATTTACTTCCACAGATTGAACATGGCCACAAATCAGCGGAGGTTTAAAAACCAGGGTTTTTCATTGCCCTGGCTACTCGAAACTGGTCATGAAGCGCCAGTGGTCAGCCTTCGCTCTTTCTCCGGCTTAAGTTGGACTAAGTTGCCAGAGGCTATTTCAGACGCATGTAATAGGAGTATTTTATTGTTTGTCCCTTTTGCCACTCCCGGCTATGACAACGTACTTGTAATATTGTAGTAGATGAATATTTTGGCCATATCATCATGGTTTTAACGAAAACAGCTAAGATAATTGTTTTCTGAAGACGAAATTTTGTCTGCACTTCATTTTCTTATTTTCAGTATTCGCTTTCAGCCAGTATATTCTTCGGCTTACCTGATTGTCTGAACTAATTTCATTATTCCATTTTATTTAGTATAGGATTCTAACAATAGAAAACAACGATCCTGCTTCCACGAGGTCAAATACATTACATGGGCAATGCTGAAGACAAGTATTCAAAGTTGGGATAATAATTTTGAACAGGAAATTAACATTTTTATCAAGTGCTCCAAAATTCTGCAGTAGTACCAGAAAATGATAACAATTTATGATTAGATCGTCAGATTAGGATTCATGCATGTCAAGCTCGAAACCATGCCGAAGGGCAGAGACTCTTCACAGGCAACCATTTTCGATTCTCACCTGTCGAAGTGCAGTTGAAATGCACTGAAACGAAGTTACATCTTTGTAGTGATTAAAATGGTTTTGTCTATATGATAAAATTATAATAAATAAATTATATATATATATATATATATATATATATATATATATATATAGGTATGTATGTATTATAAACCGTTACATTGGAATATGCAAGTAACCGTGAAAAATGCATACGTGTTTTGACGAAACAAAGTTTTACCTACAGACGATAATGGGTATGTCTCCATTCACATAAATACAGTAGTAATTACTGTTTGTTGGTCTTCAGTTGGAGATTCGTCTCGAGCTGTGCTGGTCAAAATCTCTACTTCCCGGGCAGAGAGGATCTCTAGATGAGGCTATGTCGAAGGGCAGAGCCTCGTCTCGTCTCGGGAAACAGCTACCCGACCTATATGGAGAGTACAGCTACCCGAGCTATATGGAGAGTACGGGGATTTTTGGCCGAGCCTAAGGGTTTGGATACCCCACATTAAATTCGGCCTTGTGCCACATCTGATCGCGTGGGGCGGTTGGTAGCTATCCTGAAGTTGAAGATTCATTGTGGAATTCACTTGACTCACTTCTAGCACTTGACTATTTGTTCTACGCGCCGCTGGCGAATCTTATATGTGTTGTTCTTGTCCTTAGTATTATCGTTTATTACCAACCTTCGTGCGATTATTCTATTCAACAATCTTCCCGAGGTTACAACGCTTAGTACTCAAGAAACTAAGTTCAAATAATTCTTGATTTCGATAAAATCAACTATAATAAATATATTTAAAGAACCATATTTAGCATATATATATATAATTCTTGAGTTAATAGTAAACTTACAAGTATATGACTTTTGGTTAAGTGCTTTTCCGTAAAATTAACAATTGTAAATAAGTTAAAAAATATTAATAATACTATTACTATTAAATGTTATTTATGTTAGTTTTTATTTTATTTATTTTCAATCAATATCTCAAATTATTCATACCGTATTTTAGGAGTTATTTTTGTTTTGTTTTTTAAAATAGTGTCAATCACTCTATTGTAAACATTTTGTTAAGTGTAGTTAAGAAAAAATAAGAATAAAAAGGAAAGTTATAAAAAGAGAAAGATCGAGAAATAAGAAATAACAAAGAACTTAAAAGGGAGGAAGAGAAAGAAAAGTATGTCGTAAGACGAGCCAATATAATAAATCGTCTTTATCTTATATATATATATATATATATATATATATATATATATATATATATATATATATATTGGTTTGTTTTCTTCTCTTCCAAAAACGCCCTGTCTGGCCTGCATGTAGGAAGATCTGTATAACGTAAGCATACCTGATCTATAACATCGAATAGTCCAAGTGAAGTCTTGATCAGTTGCCGTTTTCTAGGGGTACTTATATAAAGCACGTCCTTAAGCTAGTAGTAAATTTTATTCTGGGTGCGGTCCGAATACTAATCATATTCGGTCGGGTCTCCCATCGAAGAAGTCGAATACCCGAAACTTCTATTGACATGGGAGCAAAAGACGACGCACCTAGATTCGGCACTTAAAGGTGTATTTTTAATAATAACTTGAACATATTTTTAATAGCTGTCTGTTTTCCCCCCTATATTCTGTTTATTACTATTTCTATCTCATAATCAAAATGATAGTTTTTCTTGCCTCAGTGCTTGTTCGATATGTTCCATCTGTTACGAGTACATATACGCAGTGATAGTTTGGAACGTTGGCAGCAGCTCGTAGTACATCACCTGTCAGCTAGTCCAACAGATACAGGGCATGAGTTTGTGTAAGTGTAGCGGTATTGCTGTGGTACACAAGGTCCCATGTGGCTAACGGCTAGCATACTTGGGAATGTTATACAGCAGCCACTTTTCGTCAGTGGTGCGCATTCGATCAAATATGGGTACGGTGCTACGAGAAACAACCTTTCACTTTTTGCTTGTTGCCTTCCTAAACTGTGTGGGATCACCACTTGCTCAAATTTTCGCCTTCGTTATACGGTTCAGGTGAAGTCTGACTGTTTTCTTCGGCAATAACTTCAATGTTTGGGAAGTTGGTTGCACAGAACATTTCAGCCTGTCTCGTATACATACATTTCATTTAATATAGAGACAAACTTAGTAAATGCATTCCAAAATAATAAAAAGTAAACTAAAGGCCGTAAACAAGACTTGTGAAAGACACCAAAGAAACACAAGAGAGACAAAACTATCAACTCACACGCACACAAAACTCTGTGATAATGGCTTATAAAAACCGAAAGAAAGTAGAAAAAATTTAAGTTCATATACTTCCAGGAAACCAGAAATATGGTTCAAGCAGTAATATAAACTTAAAAAAAAATATTAAGCATAGCATTTCCTTGCTCATAATCAAGCACGCAAAAGGAACAATTATTGCAGTGCACAAATACAATCAATTTAATATATATATATATATATATATATATATATATATATATATATATATATATATAAAATAAACTACAATCTTCCATGATTTAAAGACAGTAAAATCGACCTTGGCAACCAAACGCTCCTCTGTGGCCAAATCGGTTAAAAGCATGTCAGGCTATACGATGTTTCCGTATCGGATACAGGTTCGATTCCTGTCGGAGGACGAATATTTTCTGTGAAAATCTCTCGGACATTCAGCACGGTAAATGTTTATTATAAACAGAGCATTTGCTTAAATATTTGTATCTATAAAAAGAATGTATAAACATAAAAATGTCTTAAAATAATTGTCGGACTTTGTCCATTTCGTATATAGGCAGCATATCTCCATTCAAACATGTGTCATTGAATAATATAGACATATCTTGCCTATATGCTTTTGTACTAATCCTTTCTTCTACTCTAATCAGTTACTTGATGTTAAGAAAGGCGCCGTAGTTTTTTTTCATACCCAAGTACTTTCGATTTCATCCGAGATCATTCTCAGGGGTGAATACAAAGACAAACTTATTGTAACTGTGACTGTTGTGTTCGGTGCTTTTGAAAAACACGCTCTGTTAAATTTATCCGTAAATGTAGCTATGGAAATTTGTGCATTATATCGGTGTTGTCAACAAGTATTTTCTGTATTTAAAAAGTTGACAGCAATGTGTGTTTTAAATATTTTACAATGGAACTTGTATCTGACAAATGAAGTGTAAGACGACTTGATAATTTTGTGGACGTCAAACCAACATATGTACTTACATTTTTCAGAGATACAATCTTCCAAAGGAAAATTAATATGATATACATATATATTTTCCAAAAAACTAGTTGTCGATGAACTGTTTTTGCTTATGATTAAGTTGGTTTGTTTAGTATAATATATAATTAGTTTTATTTTTTACTGGGAACGATGAGTAATATATTAGTACTTATGAGATGTTTTAGGACTTTTTCATCTTGTTTATAGTTAGAATACATTTGATTACGTTAAAGTAAGTTAATATGTTTAGTAGCGTTATTTGAGGAAGTATTATGTTTTTTAACTATATTAATATTTCTAATGGCTCTCCTGATTTGTTCATCAACGATGTAATTAGAAAAGTCATTATTAATGAGGGTTTGTTTAATTTTTTTTTTAATTCAGTGTAGAAAATTTTTTCCGTTGAAGTTTTTTTTTTACTTTTGTATAATACCTATTTTGCAATAGGGCATTCACTCTTATAGTTCAGTGCACGTATTTATGCAAGTTGTTCTTTTATATAAGGACGGCATTCACTTTTATAGTTTAGAGTTAGAACGCATTTGATTACGGTTAAGTAGGTTGATACATTTAGGTTTATTTGAGGAAGCATTATGTTCCTTTAGATTTATGCTAATATCGCTATTTCTAATGGCTGTCGTCTCTGAGTGTTGACTTCAATGTTCACTTATATATATATATATATATATATATATATATATATATATATGTGTGTATATATATATGGAGAGAGATATAGGGGAACAGAGAGAGCAAGAAAACTCAAAGACAATCTGAAGATATGCAGAATTCGCTTTAATTCCAGTGAAAACTAAGCGTTAGTTCGAAGGAGCTGACGCGTTTCCTGCTTCTGATCCATGCAAAGGTTTGAGCGCAGACCAAATGTACATCGGGATCAACTGCTTGCAAATATTAAAGGTTAGTTTGCAGAATGTTGCTCCTCTCAATATCAGCCATACCTGCGTCTTCAGCTTTGTCGCACGCAGTAAAGCAGGCATTGGTGTCTACTCGTGGAAAAATGTGGCAGTTGATTCTCAACCACTCGGGCACAAAACAGCATGTTATACATTTCGAAATGTTTGCAAAACAGCAGCAGGCCTCGAAAGATACATGCGTGTAGTCTACATAAAACTTGAGCGCCTCTTTATTTTACTGAGCCAACATTTGTTGTTCCTGACGGTATATATATATATATATATATATATATATATATGTGAAGAAATATAATGTCTGCTATATTTAGGGGAAAAACAGCAAATCTCTCCCCACCCAATTTTTTTACTGCGTTAATAAAACATGAAAAAACGAAAAGAATAAATGATACAAAATGAAAATGAAAAACAAGTAAAATAAATCAACCCAAACAAATAA